TTGGCATAAAAGAAAAATCTATAATTTTGACCCATACAATGTATTTTTGGCTATTGCTATAAATATACCCCAGCGACTTAAGACTGGTTTTGTGCTCCAGGGTCACATATATGGTCAGTGTGACCAGAAATGAAAGGAATCGTTTACCCCAAAATGAACATTCTGCCAACATTGACTCACCCTCACGTCATTCCAAAGTATGACTTTCTTTCAGTTTTTCTTGTGTTTAATCAGCAGCATCATATTAGCGCAATAAGTCTCGTTGCAGTGCAACAGAACATTTTCATTGCATAATATCATTTTTGGAGTTACTTTCATTGAATTTGTGTGTGTGTGTGTGTGTGTGTGTTTCAACAGGCTCAACAGGTTCAAACAGGTTTGGAATGACATGAGAGTGAGTTAATGATGACAAAACTCATATTTTTGGGTGACTGTACCTTTAACAGAAAGACCTATCAGGACACAGGAAAGCTAAACCATGACACATTTTTGTTTGAATCAGATATCAGCACATGTACAGGTGAGAAATACACTATGCTTGTCCCAGGAACCGCTGATCAACACTGTGAGAGGTAAATGTCATTCTGGGGTGATTTGGGGAGCAGATTAGCAATCCAGATGAAGTAAGTGATGGGTTAAGGCTGGGTTTAGGGATAAGCTTAGCCTTTTGTAAATCTGCCCTCTGAGTAAAGATGACTCCACATAGTGACATTAGTCAGAAGTGAAAGCTCAAAGCCTGAAAAAATACAGGTTTTAAATCAAGGGGCGAAATTCAGTGCAACTGCTAAAGGAGGATTTTCACAGTTCCCGCAGGCCGTAGCTGTTTTAAACCGGAGCTCAGGCTAAGGATTAGTCTATACTCAAATAAACAAGCAGTCATTTTGGATTCTCGGCAAGGTCACTCTCATTTTCCCAGATACCCTCCAGCTTGAGGGAATCACATGGGTGCAAAATCTCACCAAATCGGTCAAGAAAATTTCCATGTCGTGTTTCAATCAAAAATCAAATGAAAGAAATAAATAATTATATTTTGTTCAATGAAAATGAAGATTAAGATTAAGGGAAGATTTAGGGAAGAATGGTTTATCATATGATTGTCACCTTATTGTTTTACACACAGTATCCTTCCATAAATCACACAATATGCAGTATAGGATTATTGCAGGATATGTAATTTATATATATATATATATATATATATATATATATATGTGTGTGTGTGTGTGTGTGTGTGTGTGTGTGTTGGCATTAATAAGAGATAAGCCAAGTATGGGACTTTGCTTATCTTACCTTTTAGTGCAAACCTTCTGCTTCTTTCATTTTCTCAATAAATGTTTTTCATTTAACACTCTCAGATATACAGTATAAAAAATATTGTGGTAAATATTCATTACAAATTTCAAATAATTTTCAAATGAAGCATCCAACTTTGATTATGAATAAACTGAAAATCCATATATTTTAACATAAACCTCCTCAGTTTGACAGAAGATGTAGAAATGTTTTTTTTTTCTTTCTTCTTTTTAAGATATGTGTTTATATTTTAACTTAACTATAATTTATAATCATATGCTCTAAGGACACTCTGGGTTTTATGGAAAGTGAGTAATAATCAAATATCATATTTTCTGATCAAATAAAAAGATGATCAAATGAAATGGAAATATTTATGATAAAAACATTCTATTGATCATCTCTGATTTATTGAACTTGTTTCAAAAGGAATGGCAGACTGAAATCAGTCAGCTAATGGAGTCTTGTTGTAGTCTATCTTGGCTCACTGATGAAAATAGCAATAAATGCTGCATTGTTACAGAATGTCATATGATATCATATTCCCATATCCAGAAATGTATTTTAGTTAATGTAATGATCAAACGATTTTTTTTAATTGCAGCTGCTAATATTGCATGCAAGCTGTAAAGCTTATGCTATTTCTTTGCATAACTGTTAGTGGTGTTTAACAACAATATACATAGAGTATATATAAAATACATTGCATTGTGGAACTCACAGATAGGTTTGTAGAACACAAAGACCATTTTATGAGGATGTTAATGTCAGTACAGCATACAGACGGTCTGCTGACATAGATGTCAGATGTTGTGCTCTTGAGCAAGACACGAAACTCATGTCCTACCCAAGGCTTACTCCTTTAGCTGACCCTTGTCTTTCTTTTATTCTTTCTCTCTCTCTCCATAGAGAAGTTGGTGGAACATTAAGTAATGGCAAACAAGATTATCTTCTTCTTTGTCACTACTTCATTGAAAGATTAATTACCTTCCTCCAATATCACAAGATTTGATCAGCCAACAGCTGTGCTATTAGTTAAACAAAGTCAGCCACTGTTTCTTATGTTGGTGATGCTGGCAAAGTCATGGTTCACCACTATGAGAGATTTTCACACAAACATTTTTTACGACCTATGTGGGTTTTCGGTGGATAGTAAAATGGAGTTGTTGGGCAGATTTTCCTGTTCCTGTATACCTCTGAGAAAATTCTTGTGAACCTTAGAAACTACTTGGCATCCTGAATTGACCCTTTGCTAAGCTCCGCCCCTTGGTTACTGTTGCTTTCTCAGACCAAGGAGGTAAAAGCAATCCATTAAGCTTTTCCATTTATCTCAATGACAATTGCTTAGCTGGCATAAGTACTGTATGTAATTTAAAACCAGCCAATATTGCTCATAGGCACTCAGTTGTTGATACAGGATTTTTAATCACTTTAGCCATAGTAGCCATGTGACAAACAGCTCTGGAGCAGCAGGAAGATGACGCCATGTTCACAATGATTGACTGATCACAAGAACGTGCACAGTTCCAAATGTTTTAAGCTGACATCATCTTTTAACATCAAAAGCAACAGATCAGGCAAAAAAAAGTCATTTCAAAAGTCTATTTCTAGCTATTCAATTAAAAAAATAGGCACTGGTCAAACATCTACTATAATATAATGAAATATTTATAATATTGCTTGCAAAAATAAATTTGGTCAGAATACATAGATTTTGCCAGTAATACATACTGTTGTAGTGGTTCTCACATGTGGCACCAACTTAAAAGAATAGTTCACCCCAAAATGAAAATGTTGTCATCATTTACTGACATCATTTACTGACATTACATTTATTTTTGAACACAAAAGAATTTTAAAGAATTTTAAATTGTTGTTGGTCCCCATTGACTTCCATAGTAGGGAAAGAAGTACTGTTTGATTACCAGCATTTGTCAAACTATCTTCTTTTATATTCAACATAAGAAAGAAACTCATACGACATGAGGGTGAGTACATGATAACAACATTTTCATTTTGGGGTAAACTATTTCTTTTAAGAAGTGAGTTTTGGTCAAATGTAAGAGTGAGAGTGTCAGATGACTCCTTTCTTCTTTTATTTTGGGGCATCAGATAAGGAATTTTACCTTGACAGCTAAAACAATCAAAGAATCAGAAATTTTGTCAGCTGACCAGTCTGAAGGATTTATGGGATTTTGGATAACTTGTAGTAACCACTACAATGCCCAGATGGTGTAGTTACGCAATCTACCAGCAGGAGCTAACGGAATCATGTTAAGCGACCAGCCCGACACTGACTCAAAATTTCCAATTTGTTAGATACAATCTAAACTATCTAATATAAAAAGCTGACATTAATATAAAAAGTAAATATTTACTTTTAGGTCATTTTAAATAGTGATAAATTATAATGTCAAGTTTGATCACTCATTCTACCCAGCTTATAATGGCCAGTAATGACTTAATCACTTGATTTGAGTATTATTGTTTTCATATATTGTATGGAATGTATTTACTATTTTCCTTTAGGTTATTATACACACAATTTTTAAATGAAAATTAAAGTTGTGAATTGTTTTGAGTTTGCTTATGTAAAGCTATAAAGGTTAAACAATTTGAACCTCACATAGCTGCATTACTGAGTATGCCCTCTAAAGAAGCATTGTGGTTGGAGGAATACCCATAATCCCTTATTTGATCAAAACATGGGGAATTACAAAGATGTGTAAATTAATTGTTATTTAGAATTAAATGTTGACGATATATGTGTTTTTGATGTTTTAATGTTTAGGGTCACCATTAGTGTGATTAGTGTTCATTTTGGTTAGATTTGCCCATTTCTTTGAATTTATCTATATTATCAACAGCTAAGCAATTTTAAGTTTATTAACTTTCAGGGCTAGACAGTTGTAGAAACTTTTTTTCCTAAAGTCACAATGTTATGGATGTAATGACAGATCTTTTTTTCTGTATTGTGACATACATTTGAGTATTCTGTCTAGACGGAGGAAGATATGAATGTAAGACTTCGATTGTAAGAAAGGGTCGGGGTTTAAGTGATTACAAAATGATTGGTGAAGTCCAGCATAGTTCATTCACCAGAATATTGAGACATTTTCATTAATTGAGACCATTTAACTAAAAATTACAATGTCAAAAAACTATTGAAAAAATTAAACATATGCAAGGATGAATTGTTCACAGTAACATCAATAACACACATTTAGAAAAGGCATGTTATTATCATTTAAAGTTATACTGATAGTTTATTCAACCAAGTAATCAACGTTCAATAAATTCTTAATATTGTGTCAGACGTTTTTGCTTAGGAAGCTTGACTTAACTTAAAATAATAGTGAACAACCACTCTACCTCAAAAACTACTTGGTACAACTAACTACTGAAGTTAAAAAAATCCCCAAATGTTTTGCAGCTGCTTACCTCATATAACTCATCTTTTGTTATTTTTCACAGTTGAATGAATCACAAATCTCTGTGAATAGACTTTCAGTAAAATAGCACAAGCTAGTCTGAAACAACTGCGAACAGTTGCTATGGTAGGACTGGTCAGTAACCTTTTTAAGGTGGGACTTTTAAGTGCAGGGTTAATTGTTTTGCAGCTCCTAATACATGACATCAGTATCAGAAGTGACCACAGTTTGTCTCTGACACATCAAGCTTATCTCTAGTGGCCAGAAGTTTCATTTTAAGGCCGCCCATCCATCTATTCCTCACATTTGTCCTTGTGCTGGCATGAGGAGAGCCTATAGGGCCTTCACAGAAGGTCAGCTTGCATCTTCTCCGGCAGCTGACTCACAGTCACCTCGCTGTAGGATGTACCGATCAGCACACAGGCAGTCCTTTGAGGCGGGGTCTGTTGACAATGAGGGTCCGCCTCTGTGCAATGAAGACAAGCGCCATGGCTATCCGCCAGGCCATTGGAGAGTCGAGTGGTATTGCTAGCATCCTTGTTGCAACATAGAGATGTTTGCCGTTGAAGATCCTTCTCACCAGGCACAGGGCTTCCTTTGCACGGGCTGGAACATATTCGTTTTCGAATCTGAGCGGTGTCCCTGCTCAGAGATTTGCGAAAGTTGGGCTTGAATACCAGGTACACCACAGGGTTGTAGATGGTGGAGGATTTGGCAAAGATAGCTGCTAATGCAAAGGCTATAGGGGGAACCTTACTGGGTTCCACAAATGCGGCCCACATTGCCACAACAGCATAAGGGCTCCAGGCGGTCAGGAAACCGATGCACACCGCCACTGAGAGCTATGAAAGAATCAGAAATAACTCTATATTTCCACACTTTCTGGAGAAAATAAATAAATGATTCATTCTTCATTTGCAGTTGCAAAGCACTGTTGTACTTTGAAACGCTAGAAATTAAATCCCCCTGCATTCATTAATTGTATCCCTTAACGCAAATAATCAAAATGATGTGAAAATAAAGTCTTCTTCCTTAAAATGGCTTGAAAATAACTCTACATCCTTTCCTCATTTAGTATATATACAGATCCATTAATATGCAAATTAGTCCCGTCCTCCACTCGTTTACATAAGCTTGGACTACCTATTCCACTTTCACTCTGTTAATTTATGTAGTTAATGCTGTACAATATTGGATTTAATTAGCCATATATGTTTGAATTAGAAACTGACTGCAAAAAATAAGAGGACGAGTATATATCCAGAATATATCCCTCTCTACAATGTCAGACAAGTAACAGTAATTGATATCATTAGCCATTGTTTCCTGGAGCCCAGTCTGAAAACATTTATTTTATATGAGTCTTCATGTCATTGCACCCGGTCCCTTAAAGGGGACCTATTATGCAAAAATCACTTTTATAAGGTGTTTGAACACAGTTGTGTGGCTGCAGTGTGTGAAAACAATCAGCCTATAATGTTAAAAATCCACCCACTCATTTTTTTTTTTTTATAATACCAATAAATCATAAACAGTCTCTCCAAACGAGCAGTTCCAGATTTCTCCCTATGTATACGTCACCTTAAGGAAAAAGTCCCGCTCGTTTGTGACGCTTTCTGCCATATTAGCATAGACACATCCCTGAGTGTAAAGCAGCAGTCCGCCATTACTGTTTTCTTGCTGTAACGTTAGCTGCTGGAGATATACAATGTCAGTGCTAAAGAGGCATTACAAGTGTTGTGTTTTGGGATTCACCAACAAACATAGGAGTCTCCATAGACTCCCTCTATCTGAGCTTCTGAGGACACTGTGGTTAAATTTAATTTTCGAAGGAAATATCCCGGAAAAAATCAGTAAATTCCCCTGTATGTTTAGGGATCAATACCAACACTTCATGTGCGAACGTCAGCTCCAGACAGTAAGTATCATGCGTTTGTTTTCCAAATTGCTTTCTGAAAGAGCCTTGGCACTCTGTAAGGCTAATGTTGCTAAAGCTACCATTATCCCTGCCTGTTTTCACTGGTGCTGCCTTCACATGCTACCAGAATGATTGTAAATAGGAATGTGGTAGTTAAAAATTGCATATGAAAGCAATGTGAAGTCGACCGCTTGAATTTGTTGAGCTCATAATCACAAGTGGGACTTATAAAGTTTGTGATAGCATGTGAAGGCACCATGAGACCAGCTATGTCGTTATTTTTATTGCGTGATGTGCTCCCCGTAAACGCATTTATTATACACAGTACAATCAGATGACTGAGTACGTTTTGCTGTAAAGATAACAGGCTTGTACTAATAGTAGAATGTTTATTTGTTTGCTGGAGCTTGAGCTCTTAAAGCTCCGCCCTCTTCTGAAAGGGGGCCGGGAGCACCAGCTCATTTGCATTTAAAGGAACATACACAAAAATGTCGCATTTTGGCTCATACCCTAAAAGTGGTAATTTTAACAAGCTATAAAAAAATGATCTGTGAGGTATTTTGAACTAAAACATCAGAGACTTATTTTACATCTTGTAAAAAGGAGCATAATAGATCACCTTTAAGCAATGATGCTTTGCACCTTACCTTCACAATGAGGATATGGGCATTTGTTGTCTTGGTCTGTGGTGACACATGTTGCTGTACTGCCTGCCGTGACCCTCGTACAGTGATGAGTATCAGTATGTAGGAGAGGAGGATGATGGCAAGAGGCAGGGCATAGCAGAAGAGGAAGAGACAGATAATGTAAGACATGGACAGAGCATCCTGGCCTGGTGCATACCTGAAAGAGAGAACAGGACATATCCATGGTGATGATAATCAGGGGCACCGCTGGAGTTTCTAGGGCCTCTGCTTATTTCCTTGGACTGAAATCACTGATTGTCTGAATCCTCCAAACCTTGTTCTTTTTTTTCCCCCATTACGGTGACCCTAATATGCCCTTGTTCATATGCCCAGATTGTTGGTGTTACTGGGCCACCTGAGAGAGACTGAGAATTATTGGGGCCACATGAGCCACAACCCCCGTGGCCTAATGGATGAGGTACTGGCTTCCTAAGCCAGGGACTGTGGGTTCAATACCCATCTGTGGTGAGTTTAAGCAGAGTGGTTAAAGAGCATAGCCCAGAGGTTGATTAATCAAAACCATTCTCTGCTAAGACTTCTACACTTACGTAGATACTCAAGTCTTTCTGAAAGCAAAGCTACCACTGTGCTATGCCAAATTGGTCATTGTCTAGCCAAAACTATAAAAAGTAGCACTTAAAGGGATAGTTCACCCAAAAATGAAAATTCTGTTATTAATTACTCACCCTCATGTCGTTCCAAACCTGTAAGACCTATATTCATCTTCGGAACACCAATTAAGATATTTTTGATGAAATTTGAGAGCTTTCTGACCCTAAATTATGTTGTTAAAATAGTCCATGTGACATCAGTGGTTCAACCTGTATTTTATGAAGCTACAAAAATACTATTTGTGTGCAAAGAAAACAAAAATAATGTTTATTCAACCATTCTTTTCTTCTGTGTCAGTGTCCGCTGCACGTTCACAAGAGTACCACGACGCATGCATGTTGTGCTGCTGACACAGGAGCCGGCATTTTGACGTATGTGCTGCGCCTTGTTTGCAAGCAAAAGAATGCACATGCATGCGTCATTGGACTGTCATGAATGTGTGTCAAAGACTAGTCTCGCGTAGCCAGACCTTCAGACTGACGGCTGAAGGTCTGGAATCCATGGCAGCTTTCATTGGCCAAGGCCCGCCCATGAGGCCGTTTGACCGACATTTTAAACAACCAATCACAGTTTGTTTCGTTCAGCGTCACGTTTCGGGGCGTGGAAATGTCGCCACAATAACAGACCGGTGTGTAAAACTCTCGGACGTATTTTAAAGATTCTATGCCGCGAACTTTAAATATTTCACATACTTTTGAAAATCCAGCGATTAGTTGATCATGATAAGCACTCATTGTCACAGTTGTAAACAGGACGGCTTTCTTCTTTCGTGAGGGGGTTTGGCGTCACGGCATCTTTGTTTCCAGACGGAACGTTTAAGAACGCAACACACACGTCTCCAGGAAATCCTGTATAATTCAACCAATTCGATGACGACTTCGAAACTCCTGAAGTGTTTCCACTTTTGTGTGCCGTATGCATCAGACGTTCAGCCAACGGTCCGTAGGTGTGACGTCTGAGGCTGAGACTAGTCAAAGACTGACACAGAAGAGAAGAAATTTTTGAATAAAGTAATTATTTTTGTTTTCTTTGCACACAAAAAGTATTCTTGTAGCTTCATAAAATTAAGGTTGAACCACTGATGTCACATGGACTATTTTAATGATGTCCTTGCTACATTTCTAGGCCTTGAACGAGTCAGTTCCATTGCTGTCTATGCAGGTTCAGAAAGCTCTCGGAATTCATCAAAAATGCCTTAATTTTTTTTTCCGAAGATGAGCAAAGGTCTTATGGGTTTGGAACGACATGAGGGTGAGTAATTAATTACATAATTTTCATTTTTGGGTGAATTATCCCTTTAATTTAGGCCTAAAGTCAAGTTGTTTTCAAAATACCTGGGTATAGGATTTCTCCTAAGGTGAGGTCAAGGTCAAGGTCAAGGTCAGTTTATTTATATAGCACATTTAAAAACAGCTAGTGTATGCCAAAGTGCTGTACATATACAAATAAAGTAAATATAGAGATTAAGAGAATAAAAAGAAATAACTCAAAAACACATAATCAATACAAAACACATTAACATACACAAACATACATTTCATCCAAAAGCCAAGGAATACAGATAAGTCTTCAGGCGGGATTTAAAAACAGGAAGGGAAGGCGCAGATCTAATGTCCCGAGGTATGCTGTTCCATAGTCGAGGATCGGCTACAGAAAAAGCCCGATCCCCCTTAAATTTCAAGCAAGAGCGAGGTATATGCAAGAAAAGTTTATCAGAGGATCTGAGAGAGCGAGAGGATTGCTGATAGCTGAGAAGTTCGGACAAGTATGATGGGGCTAGATCATTTAATGCTTTATACACAAATAATAAAATCTTAAAATGGATCCTATGCTGCACCGGTAACCAATGAAGAGATGCTAGGACAGGAGAAATGCTTTCTCTCCTCTTAGTACCAGTCAGCAACCTCGCAGCTGTATTCTGGACTAACTGCAAGCGATTCAGTGATGAATGATTGAGACCCATATAAAGTGCATTGCAATAATCAAGTCTGGAAGTGATGAAGGCGTGAGTAACTATCTCCAAATCCTTAAACGAGAGCATAGATTTTAATTTGGCTATTTGCCTTAGTTGAAAAAAGCTGCTCTTCACCACAGCACTTATCTGTTTTTCAAATTTCAGATCAGTGTCAAAAATCACACCTAAGTTTTTAGCAAAAGGATGAAGGATGAATAAGGTGAGCAGAATATCACAGTGGGAGAGTGCTGGGCCCATAACCCAGAGGTCGATGGATCGAAACCGTTGTCTGCTACAGTCCAGTACAGTACAGATCCATCGTCCAGGTGTAAAACACAAATCCTCTTAGTCCTGGGACTATTGGAACACTGTACCAGTGTTTTGAGATGCGGTTTAAGTAGACTTTAATCTAGTTTAGTGTTTCTCAACTTCAGTCCTTGGGATCCATTTCTCAGAATGTTTTAGATTTCTCCCTATCTAACCAAAAACCCGCTGACTTCGGGACTTAAACCACTTCCATATTTTAGGCCTCATTCCTGTGGCTATTCCACAGTCCAGTCATAACAATCCTCTTAGTCCTGAAACTATATCAACGCTGCATGAATGTTCTGAGGAGCTGTTGAAGCAGACATTGATCTAGATCACTATGCTTGTGTTATAAATACAGTTCAAATGCCACTAAACCACCTGACCAAGACTGAGAAGTATTGGGGGCACATGAGCCCCAGCCACAGTGGCCTAATGGATAAGGCACTGAGACAAGCCAGGGATTGTGGGTTCAAGTCCCATCTGGGGTGGTCTAATCTTTGAGAAGGTGTAGTTAATGTGGGCCTAAACCTGTTGTGGGAATGGCAGGTGTGAAAGCAAAAGAATGCTTGGCCTATAACCCAGGGGTTGGCGGATCCTTTCCTTATAAAAAGGCTCAAACCCTAAATCAAGAGCATATTTCATGGTCCAGGTGTGAAACACAAAACCTCTGGCACTATACAACACTGCATGAATGTTTTGCAAAGTTGTTGAAGTAGATGGCTATGTAGGTGTCACTGGGCTAGCTGACCGAGACATAAAATTACTGGGGACAAAAGAGCCACAGCCTGATTTTCATGTCTGCACTCTACTATCCTATAAACAAAGGCAACAATTTCTAAAAATAAAACCATAAAAAGATTGGAGTAATTTTGTTAGAGAGTACTCCATGTGATCTCAATAGAACATTCAGTGCATTAGATTACTTTAAGAAGTGTGTCATTTTTTGATGATAATATACTTTTTTCCTATCCCAGTTCATTTTGCAAATATAAATAAGCCATTTGTAGGTTTTTAAGTTTCTAAAAAAGTGAAAAGTACAATGTAGCTCTGTGGCACTATAAAACTATCAAAGTGATCACATTTACAATGTTTCCTTTTCAGATGATAAAACAAAATCCAATATACTTGTACTTATCGAGGGACCCGAGCCATATCTCGAGACCAGAATATCAGTCTCTAAACAGGAATAGGGCTCTTTTGACTTGGGTCAGTAAGCAACTACCCAGAGTGCACGTAAACACACACACACACACACACACACACACTCACACTCACTTAGAACACCTGGGCAACTGCAATGCCAAGAAAATCACACAGAAAACCCTAGAATAATAGCATATAAATTACACATCACCTTTAGGCTGACCTTTTGGCTCTCTTTGTCTGTTTTTCTGAGAATCTTTCAGTGCTCCCATTAACATCCTCCCAGGCACTTACCAGTCTATGCAGCATGCTGTCCCGTAGGGTTCAGGGCCATAGTGACCCCAATTTGCCAAGGGACCCACAGCAAACACCATGGCATAGCACCACACCCCCACTATCATCAGACAGGCATGAGAGTAGGAGAATTTGTTACCTATTAAAGCACGCAAAATCACAGAAGCATTCATTTAGCACAAAGTATTGATCACTATTAAATGTTTTCTACTGTGTTTATTTTACATTAAAAAAAAAACTGAAAATAAATTTTGAAAGCAAAACATTTTTCTTTTAGAAGCACACCACTTCCTGTTGGCCAAATCCATTCATTTCCCACATGTGCTTACGAGGGAAAGATTCTGTACCAAGAAAGTTATGCTGTGGTAAGATGAGTTATCGATCAAACATCAGTCATCCTTATTCTTGTAATTTGTCAGAAGTACAATTATAAATTCTTTTTTTCTGTCTTTTTTTAAAGGAGACCATAGAACATTGAAGTCATGAACAATATGTACTGTAGGGGTGACATTTTTTTTAGGCCAAAACCTATATGCGAGTTCGCATTTTAGCACTTGTTCCATTGTCGTGAAAAAGGGTAGGCCATTTTCACAGCCTCGTTTGTGTTTATTATTAAATCTTGTAAACTGTTCTAACTCAAACTTTTAGCAAACTTTTTTTTTTTTATAAAAACTGAAAGAGTTGTCGGAAACTTAACTGTGGTGACGTTAAAGTCATGCATCCGTGGTGTAGTTTGTTTATAGCCTATACTTCAGCCAATTGTATTTAGGCATCAAAATTCATAAAAGTTGTGTTCATTTGTGAAGATTTTCATGATGAACAAAAAATGTCTGTAATAATCAATAAGCCAATGAAATTGCTTGGTCAAGGGAGTCAGGATGATGTTATTGTCCGCCTTGGCCTATAAAACTACGGCTCTGCAGCACTATATAGGGCTTGTCCTTGTCAAATGGGTCCAAGCAGGACATCAAAGCAATTCTATTGGCTTGAAAAATACTTTTAATAGGAACCTTGTTCTATGTCTGATTAGAAAATCTAAAGTTAAATGCATGATATATTCTGTCATATGTAAAAATTACTAATAATGTATTTTAAATACATGTATAATGATAATTTACAGAAGATATATTGATTGCAAAATTCAGCATATCTCTTTTTTTTATTATTAAAGTTTCAGCATACTAGCCTAACATATTTCTAGCTTGCTAACTTAGGCCTATACTCTACAGGTCACTTACCATACACATACAGTATACGCAAATCTTCTTGCATTTGATTAGACATTACAAACCTTGACCCTACATGGTCTGATTTGGTTTGATTGGATGGACCAAACTGTTTGTGACACAGTGGCCAGAATGTAAAACGTAAAGAATGTTAAAATACTGTTTTTATTTATGAAATCTCTGTTAAGCATTGATGGCAGTACACAGGCTGTATACTTATCTGTGCGTCAGCTGAGCAACTACCATTGAGATGAATGGGAATTCTTATGCAATTTTTGGTTACTTTCAAGGGCATTTTTAGAATGTCGTGTCGTGCGAGACACGAGCAAAACGGTCAAACATGCCTGTCCAGCACAAGCTTACATGGAATATGGAAAAGTAGCACAGTGGAATTTAAAAAAGGCCCCCAACAGTGCTTCCACAACAAACTATAATATACTATATTACTCTATAGTTATGACATCTATCAGGTACAGAACTAAAGACTCACAACCTATCTGGCAACATGCCCTCTAAAATAAGGCTTCAACTGCATCCCAAATATATTTGCTTCTCTTCCACCTACAGAATCCATCTGTTCACCTGCTGTCCTCCTTGCCATCTTAATCTCTGTTCTCAAGCTCACCCACATGCCGTTAACCTGCTCCATCTAAATTGTCTCCTCTCTCCCACACACACCTTCATCTTTTCAACAGTCAGTTAAATCCAATCAGTTTCTCCGAGCCCAATGCTCAATATGCATAATAGTTTGCACTGTTAATAGTTTGCAGAGAAACACAATTTCGTTCTGCTGGACACTTGTTGTAAGGCTAGACTGACAATAAAGTATTTGAACTTGAACTTGAACTTGAAATGCTGAAACTGACAAAACTAATGAACTCTAATGAGGCCAACCGCTCCTGTCCAGACGTGGGATTATTGACCAAAAGCCAAACAAACACTGGGCATCTAGAGCCTGATAAAAGGTAGAATATCCAATAATCACACTGAAAGCCATAAGGTAATGAATTTCCCTTTGGGGTGCATCGCGGCAGGACAGAAGGGATTCATGCAGCTGCATCCGATTCTTAATTAAGATATGGAGGAGGGCCAGGGTGGAAGATAAATGTATTGCGGTGTGAAAGGTGTTGAGGAACAATACCATAGTTTGGGAAGCAGACTTTGAGGCAGCAGACGGACGACAGAGCAGTGAGATTTGTCAGGCTGGATAAGCCGAAGAGGACGCCACATACAGCATAGCACAAACATGTCAGCTCTCCGAACAGCCACCTGAGAGAATGAGAAAGAAGCAAGTAAAGAAAGCAATGGACAGTAACTTTTTGAGTTTTCAGTAAAACCATCTTTACATTACAAATATGGCAGAGAAGCCAGATCTGAAATGGCTGAAAAAAACATTGCTACTGAGTTTTGATGTGTGGCATCACATGCACATTGTTATTTAAATTATATCTCGTAATTTTTTAAATGTTGTATCTCATAACTACAATCAGGGCCGTTTCTAGGCATAGGCGGTCGCCTAGGTTGCCACCAGCTGAAGGGGCGCCAATGAGCGCACGTACTGGCACTTTTAGCAGGGTTGTGATAAAGAGTGGCACGGTCACCCTGAAATATGTCTGCCGCCCCCACTGGATCCCCCAACATTATTGGGCTAGAGTACTGTCAATCTGACGATGCCTGTATGTCACTAGATCAGAGTGCTGTCAATTGCTGCCTGATTGTTGCATGCAAAGTTTGCATTTGGAGCGCTCAACAACGCCGTTAGATCAGTGGGCTCTGTCAGTGCTTTGGCAAGGTAACACTTTTTTTTTGCCATGCAATAAAGCTAAGTTCAAAGGCCAATTTAAAATATTGGTACAGTAAATAAAGTGCACAAAATCAGTATTTTGTTTAGGCAGTATTTGTGGCACTTTTGTGGCACATTTGTCCAAATATTTGTGGCAGATTTGTCCAAAAGGTGTGCGTTTTTTGCGCCAATGCATTGTTAAAGGATCAGCGTGTCATGTAATATTCCCATATAAACTTTAACATCCAATTAAAAAATATTTGTATAGTAAAATTCGCTAATTCACGAGATCAATACATCCTTTATTAGACCGCTTTGTCGAGTTAAATGCATCCTTACAGAGGTGTCGAAATGCTGAATCAATTCATTCACTTCCAACAGCGCTTAATGGGAGCAGTGTCATAGAGGGCAGAGCGTCACGTTATTTAAAGGGGACATCAACGCGTTAACGAGTAGCAAATGATTAAGTAGCTGCATTGGTTACTTTTATGCCACTGATAAAGCTTTTATATGTAGTTTGGGGTAACAAAGGGGTTTTATAGGTTTGACTGAAATAATAATGCAATAACTGACACTTTAAATCAATGTTTCAAGAAACAACAACAAAAAAATTGAACAAAAAACAGATAAAGACAAAAAAGTAGCCATTGATAATATCTAAACAATATGTAGTAGTATTGTATAATAATATAATTTGGGGCAATAGGGATTTCGCCTAGTGCGTCAAATTGGCTAGAAACGGCCCTGACTACAATACATTTCTTGTAATTGGAATTTTATATCTCACAATATGATTTTACCTTACAGTTGTGACTGTATACCTTACAATTGCTACTTTTTTTCTTATATTTGCAGCTTTATTTCTTGTAAATATGATTTTATGTCTCTCAATGTAATTTTACATCTCAGTTACCATCTTATTTCTTGTGATTGTGATTTTTTTTTTGATCTCACAATGTGAGATTTGTGTCTTTGTGTTTGTCATACAATTTGAACTGCATATTTCACAATTGCTACTTTATTTCCCATAATTGCAACTTTTTATTTCTTTGAAATGTGATTTTAGCTCATAATATGATTTTTAATCTTTAATTTAATCATTTAAATTTTACACTTTTACTTCTTGTGATTGTGATTTTTTATCTCACAATGTGATTTTAAGACTATATTTCACAATTGCTAATTTATTTCTCATGTTTGCAACTTTATTTCTAGTTATGATATTATATCTCACAATATAATTTTGTATTTCGCAACTCCTTTGTTTTTTTCTCATCTCACAATGTGATTTTATGTCTTGCAATTGTGACTGTATATCTCACAACTGCCATTTTAATTGCAACATTATTTCACATAATTATGACTTTATATCTCACAATTGTAATGTGGTGTTTGGGTTTTGTTTCTTGTTCATTGTTTTCATGTCTTTTATTTTGTAGTTAGGCCTTAGTCATGTTCTGTCATGCTTCCCTTGCCCTCTTGTCTTCATGCTATTGGTTCCTCTGTTCATTGGGTCATGTTCTGATTGGTAGTCTTAGTCATGTGTCCTGTCTCTCATTGGTTGGTTCTTGTCATGTGACCTGTATTGTTTGCTATAAGTAGCCATCATGTTGCCACTGTCTCGGGTCTTGTATTGAAGTTGTAACCTGCTGTTGGTGAGTCTAGTTTGTTTATGCTTAGTTAAGTCTGTTCATGCCTCGTTTAGTCTGTTCAAGTCAAGTCAAGTCTAGTCAAGTCTTGGTTTATTGTTTGGATCACTTGTAAATAAAACTGCACATGGGTTCTCACTACGCTTGTCTTCAGTGGACTGAATCATTACAGCAATTTACATTTTCTCACATTGCCTTTTTTCTTGTTATTGTGATTTATTTATCTTACAATGTGATTTTAGATCTCACAACTGGTGACTTTTTGTTGTAATTATTGCAACTTTATATCTTTTAATTGCAATTGCTTTTAAATTAATAACACAATGAGACTATTTATTTTAAGCTTTCTCAGAATTATCAGTTTTATTTTTACCCTTGAGATTAAAAAAGGCTTCCATTTATTGATGATTCTAGTACCAGCACATAAAACAAGACATATTCTGATTGTCATGAAAACAGCAAGGTCTAACACTGTGTCTCAAATGTCATAAAATGCTGTATTGTTGGTTGCTAGTAGGTGTTCCTACTCCACTGCAATATCCAGCTGTATAAAATTTGTGACATTGTGGCACAGTGTTAGGCAGTTCTGCTGCAGCTTTGGTCCTGTGTCAATGAAATGACGCATCAGAGCTGCTTTAGACTTTGTCTCTGATACGTGGGTGAGCATATTTTAGCACAGACTTCTTGTGGCGTCTGCCTACTTGTGAGCAAAGGCGGATGGAATCGCCAAGGGAAAGAGAGTAACTGTCATCCCAAGGTCACTAATAGATAAATTTATGATGAAGAATTCTGCCGGCTTGAGAGATGATCTCTTACGATACGCAACAAGGAGCAGGATGCCATTTCCCAAGAGTGACAGAATACCTAAAAAGAGAAAGAAAGCAATTTGGTGAATAGTCACTACCACAAGCACTTTGTTTTTCCTTGTTCTAACACCTTGCAACCCCTATTTTACTGTTTTGTTATTGCTCCGACAGCTTGGCAAGACCTGAAACTGCTATGATTTATTCTGGCACTTTACGATTTGAAGTCACCCTTTAAACTGTCATATGTCCTCTTGCTCAGTTTGCCAATGACCTCTGAAGTTTTGATCTAACATCCCTTGAGACTTTAACGTTCACAATATAGCTGTATCTCAAGCATCACATTTTGGATAAAAGCGTACAAAATGCATAAATATAAGTGTTGCATGATTGTGTTCCAATGAGAAACTTAAACTTAAAACTTAAATTTAACAAAGTGAAATGAAACCCAACTATTTAGTTGGGACGTCAAGGCTACTTTGTCATGGGTTCCATCAGAAATTGCATGTCGGTTTTTAAAATGGTGGTTTTGGATTTACTTTTGTTCAGTTCATCAAGTGCATAACCTCACATCCTTGTGGTAAGTTTTATGATGCTTATTTAGCAATATTTTCTAGGCAATGATGTTAAGTGATTAAACCTCTGCAAAAACCATGAGGTGCTTCATGCAATGAATTGCTTCAGACAATTCAAGGTCATCATCAAGAGCGTATCACCCCTAGTAAAAAAGTAATATACTTAAAATACATTTGTCATACTTACTGATATAAAAATTGTAATTAAACTTTACTTGGCATATTACTTGTGCACAATGCACTTTTCTTAATATTAAGTGTGTTTTAATGTAATTTTGATGAGGATTGTATGATCTTTGAATGAAATCAGACTTTAAATGCAAAAATATTTAAAGAGAACCTGAAGTGTACTTGCAATAGTTCCACTTTAGCACAATAAAATTATACTAAGTATATCTTTGTACTTCAGTACAATTAAAGTGCATTAAGTACAAATTAGTTGTTCCAATTTAGCAGACTTTAAGTATACCAGTGTAATATACTAAAAGTACAATTGCAGGACATTTTATTCAGCACATACATATAAAAATGTAATTGTAGTATACTTGGCATGAAATAAATGTATTTCAAATACATTTAAGTATATTTATGTTTCACTAGGGACCGTTAACCATTCTAGGAATTTTTAGTTTAGCGACAAAAATAAAGACAATCAGACTAAGCATTAAGGCTATACTTTCAAAGCTGAGTGCTCCTGTTTAACATGAAGTATATTTTGGTATCTGGATCAATGGTGTTTTTGTTCTGTCCAGTAATTTATCCAAACATACATTGCAAATGGAGTTCATACTGTAAATACAATGACTTTAATACATCTCTGCTATGATGAGAATGTTTCATTTCTGAATTAAAATTCATTTTGATAAAGTCGCAAACATTCCAAAATGTCAGGGAGACACAACCCACCTGATAACATAAGAAAAAAGACTCATTAAAAGGATGAAATTCTTGAAAAGAAAAATTTATTTTTGGTGTCATCTTTACTAATTCATGGGGGGGAAAGTATGTAAAAAATAATATTTGTCATTTTGGGTAACCAACAGGCAGATAGTGCCCCTATAGACCCTCATGTTTGTGTATCAAGGTCAAGTCTCCTAAAACATTGGGTAATATGAGACTTTTATGACAAGGCAAGGTTGGTTCAGGCTGTAAAATATCAATAATTTATGATATTTGTAAAAACCATATGATAAACCATATGATATCAACATGAAAAAATCCTCATGCCATTTCTCCTCTCTCTTCCTCAACTTTACTGTCTCTCGACTGTTCTATAAATAAAGGCTAAAAAGTCCATAAATAATGTGAAAACTTTCAGTTGTAAGTGAATGGACTCACAGAAGGTTGTGTATAAAGAACCCATGAAGACATCGTGCTCCTTTGGGATTTTGGAAACAAAATGGGAAGTTTCCGTGGTATTTCCCATCTGCAGAAAAAAGAAAAGACAAGAAGTTTAGATGAACAGTGGGGAAAGGATGAGGCTAAAGCTGTGGTCAAACAAGAACAAGTATTAAGCATTCATGAGCGAGCTGAGGGTTTTCAGGGCTGAAACAGGGGACATTGTGGTTCAGTTAGCTTTTTGGTGAGTCCATTACAATTGAGATTAGCAGCTCATCTCTCGGTGAAAGGAGCCAGATTCCCACTCGCAGCTAATGTCAACACAATGTCCAGTCCAGTTGTTTTATGGAACATGTAATGGAGGGAAAGGGAATGAAAATGGATTTCTTTGAGGATATGGGCAGAAAAGAAACTCTCCTAGTTCAGTTTGTCCACTGACATGGAGAATCATTTTTGTGATGTGTTTCTGAAATGTCATTTATTTTTATGTAATTTATTATGTATTGTGTTTAAAGGAATAATGTCACTTTTAAAATTTAAATACTGTATACTGTAACCAGTGCTGGGTAGATTACTTGAAAATCGTAGCCCGTTACCGATTCCAAATTACATAACAAATATTGTAGTCTGTAACGTAATCCATTACATTACACATTGTAGGTAATATAATCAGATTACTTTTAGATTACTTTTGACGTTCATCACATTGATTTAAAGCTGCAGTCCGTAACTTTTGGCGCTCTAGCGGTTAATAAACAGAACTGCGTGCATCTTGCGGAAGAACATTGTAGCCGGAGCTACTTCTCTCTGTTTATGTCTATGTCGAATCACGCAGGTACTGGGCTACTCCGCAGCGGTACCTACCCGAACCAGTCTAAAATAATCTGCATATAAACACTTATTATAGGTGTACCGTAGTGACTCAGGACAAGCCAAAAACACGGTTTGGAAAATGGATTCATGGTGTACTCGATTATTATATAAATTTTGAACACAAAAAAGTTACGGACTGCCGCTTTAAATAGAATAATCTTGTTCCATATTCATATAAAAATACAAAGAGAAAGAAAATATTTTCCATTTGTTGTTATTAACAACATGGAGTACATTAAACATTACATTGTCAAGATTTCCCAAACTGGGGTTTGTGAAGGAACTGCAGTGAGCTTGTGTGTTTAACAAAAAAGAAGGATTAGGGAGAATCAATAAATTATGTTTATTATTTTATTGCTATTGTGTGAATAAGAGAGATTACTTTTCATGTAATGGATTAAAAAAGTAACTGTAGTCTGATTCCAAATATATTAAAATGTAATATAATTGTTTTTTACAAATATTTACATTTTGGAATCTGATTATGTAATCCAGATTACATGTAATCAGTTACTACCCAGCACCGACTGTACCGCGTTGGTGATAAATGCAAGAACCAATGAAGTCTGTATGTCATTTCTTTATTTACTCCACATATGCTTACATAAACAAACCAATGTCCTGACGTGAGTGCCAGATTTAAATAAGGGAGGTTGAGATTTTGAGCGAATGCTTCTTAAAGTACAGTCTGCTTTTCTCATAAAGCATTCAGAAGACTTGAAATAACATACACAAATCATATGCACTATGTGTATGGTACTTTTATGTGCTTTTTTTGGAGCTTGACAGTAACAATCACCATCCTCTCATACTTGTGCTTCATGGACCCACAGATTTTACAAGTTGGGCAAGAAATAATGATTTCATTTGATAACCCTAATTTGAGAAGCACAGCCTTGCAAAAGCTAGTACATTTGAAAGTATAAAGAATAACCGATGAGGACATGGTAAATAAATAAATATTATATGGCAGTCTGTGTGGCTTTCATGTATTTTATTTTTTTATTTAATTTGTTGGTTCTTATAAAAATCAACCCCTGAGACACAAGAACCCATAGATAAACAGTCAAATATGGACAAAGCATGAAACTAAAAACAGCTATGTAGGAAATAGTTTGCCTGGGGAAATAGCTAATACAGTTTAATGGTTATTAAACCAAATATTTGACCACAGAATGCCACAATCGTCCAATCAGAATTGAGTGTCCAGAGTGCCGCCTTTTCCCTCTCAAAAGATAACACTTTTTTTTCCCCCACTAGAAGCTCACAAACACTTTCTTTGTTTCCTGTCCTTAAATCCTCCTGAAAACACACACATATAAACACTCATACAGTGTATGTGAATAGGTTATTCACAATAGAGACATAAAGATGTTCGTACACTGATATCCATTCAAGGGCAAAGCCTTTTACTATCTATACAGAGCTGGAGGAGTCAATGACCAAACGGCCTACTTTCTAGAGGCTGAAAAAATGTCAACTCAGCTGTTATGAAATGGAGGAGTGATGCTTCAGCCTGTGCCTGAGGTGTAGGGACACAGCTTGCATCTCTGTCAGGATAATGAGTCACCTTTATATAGATGCAAGCAGATACAAATAACAAGCACAGTTTAATCAGCATGAAAGATTAATATAATGCAAATCATTTTATAATTTGATTAGTGACCTAGAAATATTACGGAATGCTAACCATTTCTACTTTTATTTGTTTATACTTTTTGTTAAAACATTCTGTTTATTACCCCATTTAAATGAATAAAAAGCTACATTTTGAATGTGTTGTCACATGCACATATTGGTGGTTTATGTGTTCATAGTGCTTAAAAAGGAAGGACATCACTTATGTGCTGATGGCAAAATCCAGCAAAAACACACTCTGTCCAGCACTATATTTCAGTTCATGTTGGCAGTCTGTTCTCCATTCCCTCTGAAATAACTGCATGCAGCCAGACATCAGTTTTCTGTTCGTTTGTTTGTGTTTTTTCTCTTTTATTTTATTTAATGGTTGGCTGCAGAAGGGTACATGTAATCTGACAAAAAAAAGTAAATTTTTTTATGTGAACTGAAGACAAATGCTCTTTTTGGAATATTCTAATATTTCTTGGAATTTTCATGAAATTTAATGGAATGTTCTTATTAAAAGGTAGTGAGAGCCATAATTCAATGTCATGTATAAAAGCTATAAGAAAGACTGGCAGAATCTCACATAATGTAAGTTTAAAAAATGTTCACGTACATTTTAAAGAGGAAATTGTTAAGAAAAGTAACAGGGTGCAAAGAAATTTTTTTTGAATTATTGTCATGATTAATTATTCTTTGTAACACTATACTTTTTTAGTCAACTTGAATTTTTGAATGTACAAAATGTCTTGTTCAGTCACACTGTATGTGATTAGTTGACTTTACTAAATAAATAGCTAACTAAATGTCGAACTAAAGTTAATTCACTCCAAATGACAATTATTTATGCATGTCTCAAATATCTTATAAAATAAATATCTAAATTTAAGTTAATCAGACTTCAGTTTCAAGTTTACTGAATAAAGTGTTGCATGTTTACTAACGCAAAATGTTTCCTCATTTTTCCTCAAGTCAATTATTTACATTTAAAGTGACTGAACAAGTCATTTTGTATTTAATGAATAATCAAATTCAAATAAAATAAACAAATGCATTAGATTGAATTAATCACATTCAACAGTGTATGTAGTTGCAGTGTATCTTTCTGTTTCTCTCTGCTTACAGTAAATGCATTCTGGATTAAATTAAACCAATAGCCTATGCAGACACTCAGCATTGCGGTGTAATATATAAATAAGCTCTTTAATGTTTCTTCATTTACAGTTGATTTATGTGCTGTTTTATTTGTTGTCACTTTTAGTGCCTTTCTTTATTCAGAGTTCTTTTTTATTTAAAAACTGTTGCTAACCTAAACTGCAACAGTATTGCATCTCCATATTGTCCTTCTAAACCAGGGACACTCAAATCTGGCTCGTGAGATCCACTTTTCTGCAGTGTTTAGCTCCAACCCTGATCAAACTCACCTACCTTTGATTTTCTAATGATCTTGAAGACATTGTTTAGCATGCTCAGGAGTGTTTAATTAGGGTTAGAGCTAAACTCTGCAGGAAAGTGGATCTCGTGAGCCAGATTTGAGGATCCCTGCTCTAAACCATAATGAAATCATTTCTGCTGCATTATAATCTGACTTTGATTCATATGTCCTCATCAACAGAATTTATACTAAATATTACATTTAGGATGAATTATGATAAAGTTTACTCTAATCACCATAATGTTAAATCAAAATCAATGTTCTGGCACATACTGGCATGTCAAATTGGACCTCTTCCTATGAACTCAAATAACAAGTTCAGTAAACATATTGGAAATGTGTTAAGGAACAATTGCACATTATAAAGAATGGCTATGGGTAATGTCAACAGTGCAGAACAAATTAAGTCAGACGAGTGTATTAATAGTTTAACAGCGTCATCAATTTCATTTGTACATTTGAAGTAAAATTTGCAATCTTGACCTCTGGCAAAGCAAAGATATTGGATTTATGTAATAGTTTATATTAAAAAGATGAGCTTCTAATATTACATTTCAAGTGACAACAAAAAAGGGCATAAATTCATACAATAATCCCAAGATGGTAAATGGATCATTTATTCATGTACTGAAATGTGTGCTGGGGGCTAGCAAACCCTTAACAAATCAACACATTGTTCCTTATGAAGCTAGTGTTCAAACAACTCTGTTTGATTAGGGGTTTCCCAAACTTTTTTGTCAGCCTAAGACAAAATATTTAATAGAAATGACCCTGAGCCTGTGGGTACATTTTTGCAAAATGATACTGCATTGTTTGTAGCACGATTCACTACACTTTCAAAGTAAATTATCGAGTGAGTGTCTCTAAACAGGGCATTTAGTTTTCTTCCAAACTTTTAAATGTAACTCTGGCAACATTTTATTGTGTTGGTTGCTGTTCGTATCATGGCAGTTCGGAAATTAAAGGGGTCATATGATGTTGCTAAAAGAACATTATTTTGTGTATTTGGTGTAATGAAATGTGTTTATGCGGTTTAAGGTTAAAAAAACACATTATTTTCCACATACTTATCGTCCTCTTTTGGAAGACCAAACAAAGTAGTTTCGCTTTCACAACAAAACACACAGCGTCTCCACGACATGGCGGCAACAAGAATACTA